TACGGGGCAACATGTTTCCCTACATACCTACGCAAACAATTTAAAAATTGCTCTGGAAAACCTTCCACACGTTTCTTACGGCTTGAATATCGGATAATAGACACATATGTAACTGTTACCTTTTGATTTTTATCTCATTGTAGCGAATAAGTGCTAAAAACGCTTCCATTGCCGACTCGTGTATGTCAACACCGCGTTAATATTATCAAAGCAACCATTTCAGCTTCGGTTCGTTCCACAACAGGGATTCTATTTTTCAAAGTCTATATTTCTTTTAATACTACAAGTTTATAAGTTTGTAATAAGCTGTTTGATCGACCATCTACCAAAAAAAGAAATTGTGAGTGGTTTTATAGCTTTCAGCTTTGCTTTCAGAGACATTTTAATTTGTAACAGTACATTGCGTGACAAATTCGGTCACCCCTTGAAATAAAAAACTTCGTCGGGAAGCCTATGAAATGAGTTAAAACGAAGAACAACTGATGCTTTTTAAAAAATTAAGGCTGTTATCTGATTAGACGAGCAGTGGGAGAAAAAGTCGTAAAAGTTAAATTCGATGAGAGACAAGCGTTGCGGAAGTTGCAACAGTACACTGAACATTACGGTTCTCACGGCAGTACATTTTTAAAAATCTTAATCTTCAATTCCCCCTCGTTCTAAGGGATTGCGGCAAACTATTCACATGGAAAAACTTACTAGCGTTTTTTCCAGTTCTTCTACTTGCCTTTCATTTGTCTGGTGTAGTATATTGTATCACTCGTCCAGCAAACGTCGCGCAACTGTACGCCATCGTGACTAAACAAAGGTATATTTTTAGGGGGTGACGGGTGGGGAAAAAACTGTGCGCTCTAAGGTCGACTTCGCCATCATTAAGGGACGGCCCATTAGAAAGTCGGGGGTGGGGAATTTTCGAGCCGCAGAAATTTTTTTTTCGTTATGAAATTCCTTGTCTGATTTTTTTTAGGCCATAGCATAAATATTTTGTAAGGGTTAATTGGCGTGTATGAATTTTTTTTTCATTTAATTTTCCCTTGCGCAAATATTTTTTTGGGTACTTCGCCACACCCCGCCCCCCCCCCCCATAAGTTTTCTAATGGTCCGTCCCTACGGTAGATAAAGAAAAGCTAAAGAAAACTTTCAAATCAAATTGAATTACAGTGACAATGTTGATTGAAAAACAACATTTGAATCGCACCATTAGAAAAGTGTAAGGCGGAGTTTCTTTTGTTAACATTTCTCTTGTATCAATTTTTTTAAGCCAGTGCATAATTTTTTTTAGGTTTTCGTTCTTCTTTCGTGCATGAATTTGTTTTATTTAATTTTCCCTTGCACGACTAATTTTTTTGTACTTTGTTTGTTCCCCCATAAGTTTTCTGATCGCTCGTCACTAACCCGGAAGTTACTGAGTTAGCAGACTAGTATCGGAGACTTGCGCAGAGGACTGTGGGAGATTACTACAGAAGTCGGTAATGCCCCATCATCCTGGGGTCCTGATTTTACTTCGAGGTAAAAAAAAAAAAAAAAAAACACAGTCGGTTGGGTGTCGAGCAGTTCGTTTACCCGGGAATTCAATAGTACGCTGCTCCTAGTACGCTCCCGAGCTCCTAGTACGCAGCTCCTCTGCTAATTTTAGGTATTCAGAGAAAAAACACAGGGTCCGACATGGGGTCAAAAGTATAAAGGTCGATTAGCAGAATTCTGGGACATAACATGACTTGCGAGAGGTCCTTTTGTAAGCATGGGCGTAAACGATCAGTTCCCTTAAGAGGATAATCCGGCCTTCGTATTTTTTGTGCTCACAGGTTCATTATGAGAGGTTAGACTGCCGTTTATATATACCGTTGTTTCTTTTGATTTTTCCTTCACTCCTTTATTTTACTGTATCTGTTCAGCTACTGGCCTGTTGTTATAACTTGTTTTAATACTAAAATCTTTATCAAGCAAATATAAAGTGTTGATCAGATATAACCGTCAAGAGAAGTGTCAATGCTGGCTGAACTGTACGTTCCTGCATTTCGAACATTTATGTGTGTTCGGCGGCTAAGGCGGCCCGAGGGCGTTGTTGTTGTTACGTATTTTTTTTACCGCAACTCTCTAGGTGTTCTATTTCTGTTGGTTTACACAGCCAGCAGAGCATCTGCCAAGCGACGCTCTTGATTGACATTATTCATTTACCTAACTTATTCCATACTAGTCGCTTTAATCAGTTACTGAACCCGGATAGGGAGAGGTACTTTTTTATGAAAGATGCCGGTCATATACTGAGGGTGAATGTGGCTGAAATAATAAGAAGAAAATCCCACCCCCCCCCTTCGTCCCCCAATTCGAACCCAGAGTTCGTAAGTTGTTTATGCTAGATATTGCATTCACTACTGTCAACCCGCTGTTATTTTACGTACCGTTCTAATCACTGGAGGCTACTACCCACTACCGGTGCAAACTGTTGTCAACAGAATTGTACTAGCGTGCGCCGGGTATTTTAGCGACAAAAGGCTCATTATTTGAATTAAAAAGTGGGTAAATGCTTACATGTTTCGTCTGTATGGTGAATGAATTGCCCCCTAGGTTCTTATTTTACAAACATGTAGGCTAGACACGCAAGCTAGGCGTCAAGAGCCATTATGGCCCTTGCTAGGCGTCGACCGTTTCTTTCACATGGATTAATGGCCGCAAATGATTGGAAGAGGCCAGGAAGCGGGAGGCTTCAAATTTCGCTCGGCCGAAGCAGAGGTAAATTTCCTATCCCAGTACTCCCCTTATTTTTCTCGCTTGAAGGAGTTAGGAGAAGAGGGGCCTACTCACGGGTTATTCTTTTCTGTGCTCCTTTCTTCTCCGGGTAAAATGTTCTGTACCGATCATTTTGATTTTTATCGTATGCGACAGTGAATTTTTCTCAAAAGACTTCAGTGTTCTCACGGATCAGGAGCTTTGCTTTTGGCTGAACATATCCCAACCCCTCACCCGCTTAGGTAGAACCTCCGATGAAGTCGCTGATCGCGTACGTTTGCCCAAAGTTCAAGGTTGCTGGACAAGAATACATTCATATACCAATACCAGACAAATGGAAGTCAAGTAGATGAACTGGAAAAACACACTGGTAAGGTTTTTAGAGTAGATTGTTTCTCGTAATCACTCAGAACAAGGGCGATCCAAATGAAAATCAAAATTTTGAAAATGTTCTGCCGTGGGAACCGTGCCGCAACGCTTGTCTCTTGTCTCTCTTTAATACTTTTTACTAGCTGAAAAATTATGCTGCCCGTGTAATCAGATAACAGTCTAAATTTTTAAAAATATTCATCTGTTCTTCGATGAGCGGTTTTAAGTCATTTCATAGGTTTTCCGACGAAGTTTTTGCTTTCAAGGGGTGACCGAATTTGTCACGCAATATAATGTTACAAAATGTCTCTGAGAGCAAAGCTGAAAGCTATAAAACCACTCACAATTTCTTTGTTTTGGAAGAAGGTCAATCAAACAGCTTATTACAAACTTATAAACTTGTAGTATTAAAAGAAATATAGACTTTGAAAAATAGAATCCCTGTTGTGGAACGAACCGAAGCTGAAATGGTTGCTTTGATAATATTAACGAGGTGTTGACATACACGAGTCGGCAATGGAAGCGTTTTTAGCACTTATTCGCTACAAGGAAATAAAAATCAAAAGGTAACAGTTACATATGTGTCTATTATCCGATATTCAAGCGGTAAGAAACATGTGGAAGGTTTTCCAGAGCAATTTTTAAATTGTTTGCGTAGGTATGTAGGGAAACATGTTGCCCCGTAAATTGATTTAGGTGGCAAAATGGTCTTCACGTTTCCGTTTCTCTACGGGACACTTTTTGCGGGCCGCGAAAAAAATTTTCACACAACAAAGTATAAAGGATGTGCTTTAAGACCATATTAGTTTTGGCCTCAAATTCTATGTACCAGTGGGCTTTTCTTGGGGTAGAAGTAAGCGAAAATTAGCCTAGTCGCTCAAGCGCTTCAAGTGGGGTAACTAAAACGGCCAGAAACAAGTCTATTTTGACAGCTTTTCAAAAGTAATCTAGTGTTTTAGAAAGAGCAAGTGAAGTGCTATGAAATGTCAAAAGTACACTGCTAGATGTTATCGCGTTTACCAGAACGAGCGAAACGAAAGTTCATTATTTTTGTCAATTTTCAAAGGCGGCGGGAGGCCAAATTGGCGATTTTCAAACTTTCCTCGATTTTGAAAAAACTCGAGCGCTTTGGGATCTTTTAATTGTGTTTTCGAAAATAACTCACTAAAGGCTTTATTTGGGCAAAATATGAAGAAAGTGAAAATTTTGAAACTGTCGCCGGATTCTCGATATTTACAGAAACCGGCTCTTAAGACCGACTCAAACTATTTAGACCGCCTGAATTGATTCAGGCGCCGATCTTAATTCCAGCCGAACTAAATTCAAGACGAGAAAAATACTCATTTTGGTGAAACTGCTTGCAAAATACGTTGTTATAATTTTTGCATTAGGTTCGCTACATGAAATGTTCGACGTCTGAATCAAAGCCGTTCCAAAGTCGTTCCACGGTCGAAATTCCCGGGGTGTCGTTGCAAAATGTGATCTCTGGTGATGTCCACCAGCCATGAGTGAGATTCGTAATGCACCAATCTCTAGTAACAATAGTGTTACTAATTGTCCTGCACACCATCGCCTGATCAAGCCGATTACCAGCAACCAAAGATCACGTTCAATATGAAAGTGACCATAGTGAGACGAACACTTATCAAAGAACAGTTACTTATAAATTTACAGTGGAGAACGTGTTTGTGGACCGGTCGCAGTTTAGTTAAAAAAAATTGGGACACCCCAGCTGGTGACTCCAAGTCACAAGCCAGACTTCATAAAGGGCGGGAACCCTAAAAAAAGGGACGTACATTTTCTAATTAAAAGTAAACGTGCATTGCTATTGCTTTCGCTCGTATAGAGATCCCTTTTACCTTAGTCAAAGAAATTACAGGTAAATTCTGTTTTCTTATTTGTAGGTTGCCTATTCAGATGTGATATGCGAGCCCCCTGCAGCACATAGTCCTCAGTGTTCGTACCAGTTCACTAAAGCCGTTTATGCCAATACCTCTAATTTGACGTATAGCATTTTGACGCTGCTGTTTGGCGGGCCGTTATCGTTTATCTATGGTTTGTCGTGTGGAGTTATAAGCTTCTTTTTTGTTTGGTTTGTCACACCATTTGTTCGTGCTTGGCTCATTTTATTGGGGCTGGTTGGAAAAGTCTGGCTGTCTTTTGTGAAGTGCTTCTATGATCCGTATTTCGAGTCATGCGGAAGAATTTTCTCCAACGTCAATATTACCTTTCGCAGTGGTACTATTCAAAACGTCTGACTGGGGTACTTCTTGTTTCATTTCTTAATATGCAGTTAAATTTTATAATTCGTGATTTTGTTTTGCAACTGCCTATTTTCTTTTCAGCTCAATTTTTTACTGCACTAGTTTCGTTTAAGTTTGCTCGAATGGATTTTTCAGGGACTATGCTTTCCACGCTCGCACATAAACCAGGTGCGGGCGGAGGATTTTGTGAAAGGGGGGTCCTAGAGATATAGTATACAGTGGCAATATGGGCGCGATAGCGCCCATCAGGACCGCGAACGGCACACTTTCGCGTTTCGGGCGCATGCTCCCCAGGGAAAATTTTTGAGATTGGAGTTCTCTGAGATGCGTTTTAGTACATTATGGACGCTTAAATTTGGCAAATGCCTAGATTCTATATTGAACATGTAATGCTGAAATATTTGATAAACCACAAAAGGGGGGGCCGGGGCCCCTGGGCCCACCCCTAAATCCGTCCTTGTAAACTACGTCGTCGTTAACAATATTACTGGGAGCTCAAGCAAAAGTGTTTTTTGAGCGACGCACGTCAACCGGAAGTGAGGCTTTTTCCCTATTTATATGCCTTGAAGCAACTAAATTTGTATTGCTGAGTGTCTTCACTCTTTAAGAGACGATTACCAGAGAATTTGGGCAAAACCACTGGCCTGGAATGCAAAACCTCCACATCCTGTTGACCGTACGTCGCTCAAAAACGTCTTCCCTAACCTCCCTAATGATATCGAAAAACAGTCACCACTGACGTAATCATATTCAAACATGGGAAGTATAGATTCTAAAAGATTCATTAGAACCAGCCTAACAACAAAGATAAAAACACATGTATTTAGCAATATAGATATGGTAACTAAGCAATAAAAGCTCAATATATTGGAATAGCCTCTTTTTTTCTTTTTCTTTTTCTTTTTTTTTTGTCTTCTTCACATGCTATTGGGGAGGAATTTCAATACACCACAATTAATCTAATTTCTATAAAGTACAAATTGTAGGGACGAGATAATGAAGTGGTTAACGTGTTGTTCCAGATTTTTTTTATTTAATTTTTTTTAAACACAACAGAAAACCCAACGAAGGCCCCCTCCCACTAGCCTGCGTTGCACCCGGCCCACGCACTCTTAAATATAGAAGGTTTAGAGCGTCTGCGACAGAGGCAACCTCCTACCCTCAACATCCGACTATTTCTGTTTTCAAGTAATAACTTACGTGACTAGTAGTGTGTGCCTGCTTCCGTTAGTTCCAAGAAATACGCCACGCTTGGTCAAGAAGAAAGTGCTGATCGCTGAACTGTAACAAGCATCTTTAATTGATACATTATGATAATTTCTAAGAAATTCCGGATTGAACATTAACATCTTCCTTAAAAGTTATCATATTTCTTAATTTCGTTGACGTAATTTTTTCTACAATTCTCTGGCAACCAAAGCTCTCTCTAGATGTCTAAACAGAAAGGAAACAAAGAATTTAAAGTGGCAATATATGCCAATGAGTACAAACAAATGTGTGCCTGGGGTTTAAAGAATGAAGTTCTAAGGACAGGCGGTGATTTGTTCGGTTTGTGGTCCAGTGACCACACCGCTGTAGAACAGCTTGTACTGGGTCCAGAGAAAGACTGCAGACGTGCGGAGCACTCGTTCTACCAAGACGTGGATTATCTTGGATTATCTTCCAGCAGTTGGAGTTGTCCATTTGAGTTGCATTGCACTGTTCCGGAGATAAGGATGGCTCGCAAGAATTGCAGTAAAGGCCACTGCTAAGTACTTCAGTAAAAAAAAAAAAAAAAAAAAAAAAAGAAAGAATTATTTTAACAATGAAAGTGTTTAATATCAAACAATATACAGATGCTGACAGGGATATTGGTTTTGTATGCATTTCGTCAAGTAGGAATGGGAGGAAAGGGAGCGTACTATATCTTATAAATATCTCACGTCATCTCACTTTATTGGTCAGTTTTATATTCCAAATAAAAACTCGAATAGTAAAGCTAAAATGTGATTGTGTCTCCTTTCGCCTCGTATCTCGCGCAGAAAACAGTGCTCCCACCGACGGATTCCTCCTGAATTCATTGAAAACAGTTTTTAGCCTATCCAGAGTATTTTTAAAAGGTCTTTGGAAATGTATTCTAAGCAGTGCTATAAAATTCGTACCTGTTCGGTCATTCTAGGGCAACTTGAGTCTTTTTTCTGTTTCCCCTCTCAATCACATTTTTGAATCTAAAAAGTTTCCTTCGATGCGCGCACAACAAAAAGCTTATCTGGGGAGTTAGATGCGAAAAATTAGACTTCACCAAATCGTACGGAATTCATTCGATAAGCGTCGAAAATTGTACATGAATGGAACGGTCATCTAGAAATTTTTAGCCATCCTCAAGCTATAGAAAATTCTAGGCAATTTTTGCTTCTCCGAAAAGATATTTGCGGCGGAAAACAGTCGTTGGGTGCCTCTGTCAAATGGGAAATTAGTTCAAAGACATGATCGACAAGTTAAGTGCTTTGTATTTTGCTTACCCACGAAAAACTTAGGAACTCTAAAGAACTGGTTAAAAGTGTTCGTGGGTTCTAGATCGAACTGGAAATGGAAATACGAAGCTTAATTTTTTGTGGAAAGGGGACAACCGGAGTAACTAACTGGTGAAACCTCTTGGGACACCCACATATGGTGTCGATATCGGGATTCGAACCCAGGCCGCATTGGTTGGAGGTGAATGCTCATCACTGCAACACCATTGCTATCATGTTTTTGTTGTTGTTGTTTTCAAAAATTAGTGAAATTCTACTAGTATACTATTTTAAATGACACGCTCTAAATGGATGACGTACCCGCCATGGATAACGATCATTCGAAACAGAAGCACGAAAATATAGCTTCCAGCCAATCAGACAATTGGGAACCGTAAGGTCTTATCCTTCCCACTTTACTACAAAAGAAACAGTCTCTACATATCTTTAGAGGTTAACACCTGGGGTCTGGTATCTCTGACAAAAGGCTTTTGGCCGATATTTACTAAACCTCTTCTTCGCCTTAGCTGTATATTCATTTTTCCCTCATACCCCAATTAACAACGCTGTGGCTACATGGCCGGTAACCGGTCAAGGTTTTCAAAACACTAACTGACCGGCAGTCTTGTCTTTTCTGTAAATTTCACAAATCGAAAAAAACAGCTTATCTAAAGAGGAAAGAGGAAAGCGGAAAGCGGAAAGAGGAAAGAGGAAAGAGGAAAGAGGAAAAAAGTTCTAAATGTCACAAAACATGGTGCCCAGTGCCAAACTTGAGATCTATAAAGCGTTTCAGGATCGCTTGAGTTTTCTTAATCGACATATGATAGTTTAGATTAAATGGATTATTTCGATTTGTCAAATTTACTGAGAATATAGCACTGCCGGTCATTTAGTGTTTCGAAAACCTTGACCGGCAGTCGACCTGAAAAAAAGTTTGAAGTGTCACAAAACATAGTTTCGTTTCCTGAACCCAGCGTAAACCAAACGCTAAACTGGAGATCTATAAAGCATTTCAGGATCGCTTGACTTTCCTTAATCGACATATGATAGTTTGGATTGGCTGGGATTCTTAGGTAGGTCAAATTTATTGAAAATACCGTACTGCCGGTCATTTAGTGTTTTAAAAACCTAAACAGAAGATAACTTATTAATTACGTATCAAAGTCTAAGGACGAAGGAAGCTTTGTCGCGAAACACAGTAATCAGGTACAAAAAAAAAACAAAGTAAGCGATACATAAAGGCGAAAAAGTGAATAACTGATTGTCCTCCTTTACGCCTAAATAAATAACAAGAATGACCAGATAAACGCACCTAAATTTTTGAATTAACCTCTTCTCGGTTTAACTTAGCTCAGCAGTACGTGAGTTTGAAAAAAGATACCACAGAGAGATAATCACAAGTAACCATAGATGAATAGAATACTAGGACGGCGAAACTTGAATATACGGGATAGCACTCATAGCCATTTTTGCATAGGCATTGTTTCCTCCTGGGACGGCTGTAATACCCAGGAGAAATGAAAAACAAAGGTTGTGCAAAATTTTTGGGGTCAAACATGGTGTATTATGGGAGATGTGCAAATGGTGAATAGACTATCGGGTCACAGCCTGTGACCTAAGATACTCCGTGTCATCTGTTCCGTCCTTAACATAATTAAGTGTCCGGTACTTTTCGCAGAATCCTTCCTGACCCCAGCAAGGTTATTCGCTGTGAAATAAAGTTCCTTGCAATATGGCATTCCCAGCTGTCTAAGCTACGTTCCAAATCCTCTCGAAACTGTTCCCAGTGCCCCAATAGTTGTTAGGATGACTTGAACTGATCGACAGTTCCCAATTCGTTTCATCTCGTATTTCACTGAAGTCACAGTAATTAGCTATAGCGATCATCTCTCTTTCCTTGTGTCGCTATTCTGGTGTCGAATGGATAGGCAACAATTATAATGCACGATTTCTCTCCCTTATTTAGAACATGCATGCAAAAATATGCATCTTAGTTATCACATAACAGTACTGGGTCATAAATCCGGCAACGAATCAGTGTGAATCAACCGGCCAGCAAGAAACCAACTGAAAATAGTTCTCCCTTTGAACAGGAAAAAAAACAAACTAGAATACTTTTGATCTATAGTAAGTCAACGAGGTACTAGAATATTTGTGATCCTATTCGAGTAGGGGACCACGAACATTTTTGATCCGAGAAGAAGCACTTGATGTTGTCCAAGAAACACTTCAAGTGATAGTCAGAACGTATCGCATCATAATTATCATAGCAAGAGTCCACGACTTCCACAATACCAAGAAGAATGGACTCGGCTGTTCACCGTTCACCGGTAAGCGAACCCAGACAACACTGTTTGTTATCCAGGATTTGTTTTGGTCGTGGCTCTTTCCACAGGAAAGATGCAAGTTTGTTATCTTACTTAAAGCTAACTCTCACGGCAACAGCCATAGAGATCGTTTATCCTTGGAATCAGACTGCATCAAATGACCCTGTATTCTTTG